TAGACTCTAGACATGGGGGAAGAAGGAGGAGGGAAGGTTTGGACTGGAAGTTAGGGAACTCAGATTGCCTCTCCAGAGCAGAAGAGAGCCAGACGCCTGACCTGGCCCCAGCACAGTGTGAGGTCAAAGTGTTTCAGCACCAGTGCTTTCCACAGTGTACAGCTCCAACAATGAGAGCAATGTCTTCTTTCCGCTTCTGCTCAAATGCCTGCCTCACACAAATATTTCAGCAGAGTAAAGGAATCTCTTTTCAACAATTAATACAAAGTTGTTAAGGATTATGGGAAGATGAGATGGGCCTGGACGGAGGGCATTCCACCTACAAAAAGTATCCAGAACTTGCGGACAGTCTATTCAATCATAGTAGAAACTGTCTTAACTCTTCAATTTTAAACAAAGAAAATCTCAAAACAAAAAGCATTATAAAGCAAAGAATCTGGAACAGAAATGAGGCTGAAACACTTCAAAAGTATTAGCTACAAAATCAATTCTAAGTAAAACTATACAGCTTTTTATCCTTGTTCGTTAGGTCAACATGCCTCAGGTATATAATTTGGTTTTGAGAAAATAAAGCTGGCCACGTTGCTCTTTGTTGACAAGTCCAGTCAGATAGCTTTAAAACATATTACTTATGTGTAGCTAAACTTTGAATTCCTGCATTCACAAGTCTTCTATTTAGAATTGCTTTATGTAGGGCCTTTATTTTAAATAACCTACTACTACAAGTTCATGTCAATGTCACTTCCCAAGACAATCAGAAGTTATGGAAGGTGATACTGAGGGACTTTTGGCTCTCCTTGTCTTCAGCCTGAAATTCTTTGCTATTAATGATCTATAAATCCAGACACTCACTGTTGAACAGATATCTTTATAAATTACATTGATAAATGTCAAAGGTAAATATTTACTTTTTTTTAATGATTTCATCATGAAACTCAAGGTCGTACACACATATATACATAATACTGCAACATGCTGAGTAACGTACAGAACAGTCTAGAAATCTCTAAGTTAATGCTAACAAGTCTTGTATGGAGAGTAGTTCATGGGTTCCACTTAAATAATATACTGCATTAAATAGTGTCTCCATGCCCCCCAAGATAAAGCTGACTCAAAGTCTCAGAATGTAAACTTATTTGGAAATAGATTATTTGCAGTTGTACTTAAGTATGCAAAAGACTGGAACAGTGTTAGCCCTTGTCTAGTGACTCCTTATAAGAAGAAAAGTGACACAGAAATACATACACGAAGAAGCAAAAGAGCAATGTGATAAAAGAGAAAGATATCAGAAAGATGAAGCTGCAAACCAAGGAAGAGCATGGACTATGGGTAAGCACGGTTGGGGGGGGGGGGGGAAGGAAACTAAAGAGGCATAAAGATCCTTGCTCAGAACCTTCAGAGGAAGGTATGCCCTGCTGGTACCTACTTTCAGACCGCTGTCCTCCAGAACTTTGAGAGAATTTAAGTCGCCAATTTTGTGATAATTTGTTATAGCAGTCATATGAAACTCATACAAATAGTAAATAAAAATGTTTACTTCAGTACATTGTCTGTTGAATGTTTGTCTGTTTCAAATACAATTTTTGCTCGCTCCAAATCTCAAATAGCCGTTATGTGTTCACGGTACATTCAGTGGTGTATCATCTATATTAAATATACAGAAGGCAGAAAAGTAAAATCCTTAGTTTAGGAATAAAATAAAACCAGAAGGATGTGGGTGTTCAATTGAAGAGGGGGTAAAAAAAGAAAAGGAGATGCGAATCCTGGCAGCAAGCATCTGTGGTGCACAAAGCATTCTCTTCTCACAGCTATGCTCTGCATTTCCCCCCTTGACTTATAAAAGAAACGAACAATTGGTGGTCTTTCTCTCTGCCCTAAATCAGTTGTGCTATAAATTCTTGTCTCCTTATAGAAGCATCAGGGAGCATGACTGAGATTTTCTTACAAATTTCCCTCAAGTATCACAGTCTTGAGCATTTATCTTGCCTGCACCTCAGAGCCCATTAGCTAGACCACCTTGAGTAGCTCACACACTGGTTGGAGAAGAGACCAGCCACAAATAATTAAGAGGGCTGCAGGCCTCCCTTTAGGTCAGAACTGTCTTTCAGACTCTCATCTTCCTGAGAGTCAGCTGTCCATGATTTTCACAAGCAGAGCGAGGTTTAGTAAGCACAGGGTTGTGGCACCTGAGTTCTGTTCTTGGCACCACTATTCTTCTGCCTTAAGAATTAAGAAAATAGGATCTGCGGAAATATCTACAGACAGGAAGGGATGGCTTTTGCAACCATTTCATCACTGACTACCATTTCATCAGAACTTACTGTTATATGATAACATCAAATATTAGCATTTGTTGTATCAGGACAGTGCACATCTATTATACTACTTATGGTTGTTAACATACTTCATGATTTTATTTTTTTCAGCTATAATCCTTTGAAACTAAATTAATCTATCACATCTATTCCTTCCAAACAAGGCCATGCTGGCATAGTAGAGAAATAAAGTACTGCAGTAGGTAAGGGTAATGGAGGCATTGGGCTAATGATGGAGAGACAGCATTAGGGCATGGTATTTAGCATAAGCATGAATGTATGATAAATAGCTTTAAATTATCATCAGAAGATTGCACATGTAAAATAAATCAACTGTTCATCAGCCTCTACGAAGAACATCATAACAGAGTTCACCAGACTCTATGAAGAAAACCCCAGATGAATCACTCCTTAACTCTTTTGATGTACAGAATAAATTAAACTGCTTCTCAGCCTGTAACATATTTGTGTGCTGGCTCTTAGTTCCTAAGATACTTATACTATGCATTATGATAAATCTTGAGTAAGAATTAGGAAAAGAGTTGGGCCAATTAGCTCCAGATAGCAGCAGAATTAGAATGTGAATTTACAAAATGTACAGGATGATGACAAGGAGAGCAGAGGAAGAGCATTCCTAGGTGAAGAAAAACACTCCAGGCCCTCCCTGGTGGCACAACAGGTTAAAGAGCAGCACTGCAAGCTAGCTGCAGCTTCAGCCTGAGTTCAATTCCCAGGTGGGTAGGTAACCCACATGACTGGGTTGGGTCACATCAATCTGTTAGTTCTGCTCCCCACTCTGTCTCTAGAATCCTTTCACCCCTCGCACCTCAAGCCTGTACCTGGTTCTGTATCCATAAATTAAAAAGGAATATTTTTTTAAACATATTCCAAGAGTCCACAAAAGCAAAATTAAACAGAACTTTTTCAGGTAACTAATGGTTGTCTAATTTCACTAAGATCTTGTAAAAAGGCACTCTAAAAGCAAATTAAAGGGGAGAAATGTAATCAAATGGCATATACCCCTGAATGGAAAAATCATATATTTGGTTTTTTGGTAAGCAATTAAGGAAGGTTTTTGAACAGGGAAACGATGTAACTTAAAATATGTTTTAAAAAATATTTTCCCTCAAATGTATTTATGAAAATTTTGAGGGCAAGACTATCCAATAAAATACTACAAAATAAAAATAGAGTAAAGGGGAAAAGTAAGAAAAAAAAAATAGAAGTTAAGTGTGAATAGTGACAGCAGTTGATTTGCCAGTGGTGAACAGCATATATAAAAAAAAATAGAATACTACTGCAATAATCCAAGCCGATATAATGAAGAAGTGAATTAGGAAAGAGAAGTCAACACAGAAAAGGCAGTGAGAATTAAAAAGGCACTCTGAAACTGAACTTATGACTGAGAAGGAAAAAAAGAGGGTGGGCTACTGTGGCTCTCATTACTTCTTTCCAGGTCAGTCATCTCCAATCACCTTGGGAGTTTGCAGTTTTTTAGTGAAATACCTTTAGTATTTTTAATTGAAATGACTTACTACTTTTTGTTCCACTTTTGTTTAGAATTAAAGTTGCAACTGTTTGCATCTTCAAATCTCCATGTTCTTAAATTTTCAATGTCTCTGTCTCTTCCTTTTTTGTTTTTTGGTCTCATTTCTTACTGATTATCTTTTTAGAAGAAGGTTCTGGGGCTATTCATAAAATGTTTAAATGAAGTTCAAAGTTTCTTATTCCGATGTTCACAATAGGATCCTGTTCACAGGAACGGGTCTGGGGCCTATCCTCCTTCCCTGTAATTAAGAGACTAAGCAACAAGGAACATCAGTGTCATCAAGTTGAAACTGAGCACTTTCTTGAGAGTGCAGGATTTAGAAAAGATCAAGAAAGAAAGAAATCTAGCAAGGATCAAAAGAGCAAGACTTCTTCTGGTGAAAATAAGGTATGTTTTCTTAAGCCAAGAAGTACCCAATGTTTGACAAAGAAATTTCAAGCAAGGAAAATATGTAGAATCTGGGCTTTAGAACTAGTGCGAGGACTTCCCTCGTGGTGCAGGGGTTAAAGACACAGCACTATCAAGTTATGGCTACCCACAGCAGCACAAAGTCAATCCCCAGCCAGCCAGGGAGGTGACCCACATGGCACAGCAAACCAATCCTATCTCGCCTGCTGCTCCCCTCAGCAGTGGATTTCAGTCACTCTGTTCTGTTGCCTACTCTGTCTCTGATGAATGCTCTCATGTCCCCACCTCCCCCAATAACTCTGGCTTACACCCCAGTTCTTATATACACAAATAAATTCATCTGTAAAAATATAAATAAGACTAATGTCAATGGGACCAATTCACAAATGAAGGGAATTGTTTCCCAGTTCATAATTGTTTCCAGGATTCAGGAGACAGTCCATGTAATTTAGATTTTAAAGTTTGTTTTTCTTATGTAATGTTCTGAGGATATCAAGATACCAATATTCAAACAAATATTCTCACAAATTATGTAATTATTTCTAGCATTAGATTTTTGGTCCTTTTGTGACATCCAGCACATTGAAATAATAATCACAAGCTAAGATAGTGTATGATGTGAAATACTGTGAAATGACACAAATCCCTGCAGAAAAACACATGCAGACACACACAGCATTAACTATCCTGCAGAACACTTTTTTATGGACCACACAGACCAGCACTACCTTTCACAGGTGAAGACAGACTCAGATGCTGTGGCAGGTTCTCTGACAACGACTTTTTCGCAGTACCAGTACTGTGATTTGTCACTGGCCTCACAGTGCAACAGCACCTTCTGCAGTTTTCCAAGCGACACTGCTTCTATTTGAAATGTATCAATCTGGTGTGGGAAACAAAAACAAAAAAAAACACTGTCAGAAATAACCAGAGCCCAGTACATGACAAGTGCAGGCAATAACAGTCCACAGACTACCAGAAGCAGAATAGTACTTTAAAAGAGATATTATTACAGCTTACATCTAAAGGAATAATAAGGAAAGAAAAACAAGCAAATTACTTTTTAACTATTAAAATTGTGTTGGGCTGTGATTTTTTCCTCTGTTGCAGTTATATTTTTCCACTTAGGATAGTACTAGTGTGACCTATAAACAAATCTAAGACAAAGGCTTCTGGTGTTGAGTTTTGCTTGCTTAGGTTTCTAGCCCTATGAGGCAATTTGTTATGTAGTCAGACTGACAGTTACATGGCCAAATGTGCAGTATGTTTAGTTTCAAAGAATACTAACATATTATAAAGCATGTAAGAATAAATTTTCTCCCTCCCTAGCCTGCACCTTCCCACTACCTCTCAGATAAATTACTTGTAGCCACTTCTCATCTGATGATCTGCTTTGGGGTCCATCCAAAACTACAGTACCACAAGTACTAACAGACTGCCTGAATCAGCATCCTGATTTCTTCTTGTTTCTTAAAATAACTTCAGTTTTGAAGATAAAATTAAACTAAGTCTATCGTGTCTGTTGCTGCCTTTTGATTATACCCCTGGTCACTTTGTAGAGAAAATGACAAGACAAATTAGTAGCTAATGATATGAAGTGTGCAAAATAATTGTGGTAATAAAACTAAAATATTATTGCCACAGTTTCTCAACTGAAAAACTCTTGAAATCACTTGGAATTTGCATTATATTCCATGTTTAAAAAATAATGGGAAAATGTGATATCTAAAATGAACTTAGGAAGAAAAACATGTAGCTCCACAGTCAGGGACCGAGACCAGGACCTTGCCTACTATGCACAAAACAACACTTGATCGGAACTTAGGGTAAACATCCCGGTTGAGAAAACAGCACACCCAAATCCCTTCCCCCACTCCCTTTCCCTTCGTGCTCAGCAAGTTCCAATGCCTGAGATAGGTTTTATCTCTGGCTCCCGAGATAAGTGTGGACTCCCTTAAGATGATGACGGCTCCCTCCCCTCAACCCCATTGGGCTTTGAGACATCAAACCATCAAGACCACCCCCACCTGTACTTTCTGTACCGCCCTCATGCTCTATCTATCTATGACTGTAACAAGAAAGAAGAAGAAGAATAAAAGCTCTCCTCAGTGAAAGACGTGTCCACGTTTTTCCTCACGCTGTCCCTGGGGCTCTACCCCCTCGCCTTGCTGGTCAAGGCCCCCCACACTCCACTCTAAATTTCAAAGCATACATTAAACTAACATTATTTACTCTTACTTATACACTGACTGGAGTTATACCTCCCACCCAATTTTAAAGTCAACCTATAGTATACCTTTCCACTCTCTGGTAAATGGTATATACAATTATGAACTGAAGAGGCTTAATCATGAAAGTGAGTTGTAAAACCTCAGCACGTATTGTCACGTGATGGTGCACTCTGCTGTAACAACTAGTTACCTCTCCTAGGCATCGAGTAGGTAACGATGCCTTTATCAGATATCACAAAGTGGTAGATGAAAAGGATTCTTTAAGGGAAACTCCCTGATCTTTTGGTGCCTTAATAGTAGTAGTATCATGGCATATAAACATTGTTTCTGTTGCAAATAATTCACTTTTGATAACAAAAATTCAGTATGCTACCCCCCCAAGCAGATCTAACTCTCCTACTCATTCTGATGAAAGCTTCTGCATGCTGCAGTGAAGAGTGAAAGAATTAAATCAGTTTTAAAACCACTTATGTTTCTGGGCCCTCCCTGGTGGCACAGCAGGTTAAAGCACAGCACTGAGAAGCTTAAGCCAATTCTGCATGGGTTCAATCCCCGCCTGCCCCAGAGGAGATCCACATGGTGCGGCAGACCTCTCCTGACCAGCTCACTGCTCCCCTCAGCAGTGTACTTCATTGATCTGCCTGTTCTGTTCCCCACTCTGTTCCTGGTGAATCCTCTCATCCTCCACATCTCTGGCCTATATCCCAGTTCTGTATGAATAAATAAATCTTTTTAAACAATCACTTATGTTTCCAAATACTTTATGAATTATTACAAATAATATTTGAGAAAAAAAACTCTCAACTTAAAAGTACTCTTTCTTAATTTCTGTTTTATTCTAGTCTTAACTTCAGACCCTGAAATCATATGTCCTTCCTATTAATAACACAATACCATTCAAAATTAACTGGATTGATTACATAGTTCACTTTAACTCCTCAACATCTTATAATGTAGGTTGATACTTACAAATAAAGGACAAAAGGCAATAGTGAAAGGGTTTTAAGTTGTGAAAAATAATGTAATTGGCCACATTCAAGATGCTTGAAGGAAAAGCTATGGTTTTATTACATGTAATACCCTATAATGGCCCTTCTATAGACTTTCAGAATAAGGTTTTGTTATCTTTCAATCCTGACAAAGTAAGTTCATATATATGTTCTCCTGATATCATCTCAATTCACTTTTTTCTTTTTCTTAAACTATCATGAAATTTTAATGCATTTTTCTTTGTCCCGTAGTTCATTACTAGTATAGTGCATACTAGTACACATCAGATATTCAGGAAAACTTGTGTTAAAGATATCCAGGCCCTCCCTGGTGGCGCAGCGGGTTAAAGCACAGCACTAAGAAGCTAAAGCCACTTCCGCATGAGTTCGATTCCCGCCTGCCCAGGAGGCTACCACATGGCGTGGCAGACCTCTCCTGACCCGCCCGCTGCTCCCCTCAGCAGTGTACTTCGTCGATCTGCCTGTTCTGCTCCCTGATCTGTCTCTGGTGAATTCTCTCACCCTCCGCATCTCTGGCCTGTACCCCAGTTCTGTACAAATAAATAAATAAATCTTTAAAAAAAAAAGATATCCAAAAATGAAAACTTTAAATATTAAGCATCTTTTGAACTTTCAATCATGCACAACCACCTTCAGGGTGATTGCTATGAACATAGAAAGATATTTGTGCAGACTTACCTGTCCTCTTTGAAATTTTACTGGCATATTAGATTTGTATAGGAGTCTAAGACCAGAATCGCCCCTCTCTCCATAGAGACAGAGGGATACTAGAGACTCAGTTGCTGCTTGTTCTAGTTGCCCAGTATGAACATCAACGTGGTATCTCACTACTAAAAAAGCAAGAGGGAGAGAGTGAAGAAGAAATGTGTCACTTTGAAATTCATACAAGCAGAACCCAAATACATGATCAAGCCATAATAAAAAACATTACATGAGAGTTCCTCTGATCTGAACTTTCTGCATCTACTTGAGAGGTTTTTGAGCTTCCGATTATTAACTTTAACTAAAAGTGAGCAATTAAAGACAATGAACAAATCCCCAGGGGACTGACAGAAAGAAAAAAAAATATTTTTTCAACAGAAACTATTATATGTATAATATAGGAAGACATTTCATGCGTAGTGTTACTAGTTGCAAAGAAGACAAAGCTATCATACATTATGCTTAAAATTTAAAAGGTTACAAAGTTTGATGAGAAAGTACATCAAAAGTGAGGGGATGAGATGGGGGTTGTCATCCAGGGCCAGATGAAGACACAGACATGATATTTTTCCTCTCTCTCATGGTCTCAATCCCTGAGATTGAAGCTGAACCATAGGTCTTTTTTTTTTTTTTTTAAGTTATATTTAACTCCATATCCCCCAGTGACTCATGGTTTGATAATGAAAAAGTCTTGTCAATGGATAAAACAACTCCTTCAGAAGTAAAAAAAAAAACTAAAATCTGTAACTATAGAGTTCAGAAGTAAAAATAAGCAACTTTAAAACTATTTGCATGTACACAATATGTATGACCAAAGATTAGTAACACACATGGAAAAATAGCTTGTCCTCCTTTTACTACAGGAAGCTCACAGACAATATCCGCATCTGCTTGGGTTAGAGATAACCACACATTTGCTGCAAAATCTAAGGTCTTCTTGCTCTTCACATGTTGCATGGTCACCTAAGATCATAAGAAACAAAGATCAAATTGTGTAATTTCCAATTTCTCATAGCACTTAGAATTCAAATACAACATAGGGATTCTTAAAATATACTGCGCAGACTGCTGCTCCTGGTAGTGGTGGTGGTCGTAGTAGTAATGACTACTGCTAATTAGGCAATTATCATCTGCCAGGTGTTATGCTAAATGGCTTATTTTAATTATCTCCTGTATCACCTTTACCACATACAGCAGTTACTAGGAAGGGATTTATGGAGAAACTCCAAAAGAGATTGTGTGCTCATATGAGCCACCATAGCAGGCTCATCTAGAACTGTTTAAATTTTAATGTTTGTTAAATGTTTTTGCACTGTTGTAGGCTGTGGGCTAGCCCTCAGCTGAGCAAAGTGACCGCACTTCCCAGCACAAGATAAGTTGCCTTAACTCCAACTGCCTACTGAACCCGTAACAGACCCCGCATTAGCACTTTGCTCCCCTGGCAGTTAATTCACAAGAATAACTATCTTTATTTTCTTCTTCATTTCTCAGCAGAAGCCTTAAAGAATGAATTTCATAATAAGCTGCCTTCTCATCAATGACAATGCATGAAGTGCCTTTTCCTTTCAAGATACAATTCATCTTCCAAATAAGTCTGTGTATTTCTTCAACTTCCTCTGTGCCCTGACCTGAGAGCAAGTCCCACCATTTCTCAGGCAGCGTATTCTCAGGTTCACTGCCATATCCCACTTATTGCCATTTTTGTTTCTCTTGAACCCCGTCTTAGAGCTGTTACAACAGAAATTATTCTAACAAGAAATCTGGTCATGTTGTGCACTTCCACAACTTTTTCAATAGTTTTATGTATAGCATAAAATTAAAAATCTTCAAAACAATAATAATATTGTTGAATAATAATATCATTGAATAATAATGTTCAATAATTGAAGAGATAAGAGATATAGATCTTATACTCCATTTGTATTTAATTTCTGCTCCCATTTTCACAATTTTTTAAATTGTGAAGGCAGTAAATGATGTCCAAATTCCTTAAAGACCACAATGCATAAGCCTAGTCTTCAATATTTGCATCATAACCTCTCTTGCCAAGATGGAGACTGAATGTTTTAGAGTGAGATTGTTTTATGTAATAAAGTGACAGCTTACAGAAAAGAAAAATAGAAAAGTTATTTCCCAAAGCAGAACATTCACAAGAGTGGGTTTGTGATATCCAGGAATACTGTAAGAGTGATTCATTTTAGAACATCTGACTTGACTTGCCCAGCTGTCAGTAAGTGCATGTGCATATGCGGAGGAGTCATATACTTCCTTTCAAATCCAAGTGCCAGCTATATGACATGGAAGGTGTTTATCATCATTCAAGAACCTTAACATCCTCAATTAGAACAATATTATCCATTTTGTGATGTAAACATTAAGTGTTTATTATTGCTGGTAGTGGTAGTAATAACACAATTAATCACAACATATTTTTAATAATAAATATATTCAAAATTAGAAGTATAAGTAACTATATCCCTAAGCTAAATACATGTTAGCTATGAAAGGATCACTTACGTGAATATGACAAGTTATTTTAGAAATAGTAATTTTATTTTTAAAATGATCTGGGAAAATACAAGTGTGTTTTCTTATTGTGGAGTTTATACTAAATTATTTTGAAAATATTTCAGCATAAATCATTTCATTGACAATAGCATATTCTTGGTTAAAGATAGGCAAAGAGAGGAAAAAGACATGAAACAAAATCTTTTCAAGTCAGAGTGCCATCAATTACTTCCTTATCTAATTTTTCTTTTTATCACGGAACATCAGTTTACAGCCCTGTATGTGTGTGCTCCAGCCCAGTATGTGACACAAAGGTATAGGATTACACCTCATCAGATGCATGCAGCCACAACACACCCATCACCAAGGAACCTCTCCACCACAGTCTATGTAAAATAGGAATTCTTAAACATTACTGGAGATTATGGTTTCTCAGTCTCTAACATCTTCTTAGATACTGTGGAGGAAAAACTTCACCCACATACTCAGTTCTTTATTATCAGAAAGAGAAATTCTATTCTAAATTCCTCACTCCTACTATACTTGGATGATTTGACTACTACTATTCGGGGTGACAATTAAAGGCCTTTTTGTCTCCTCCTTTTGAGTAACTTCTTCAATTTTCTCTCTCCTGGTCCCCATAGGTCTTTAGTTTATTAGTAAAGGGGTGCATACGCAAAGAACAAAACTCTAAACTTCAAAATAAAGAGAACTCCAAAGATTTTGGGAATCCAAAGCTATCTTTTAATCTCTCTCTCTCTTTTATGTATCTTATTCCCTCAGTAAAGCCCTCCAGTACTTATTATCTCCTAGATTCCTAGTTGTAAAATCCTTGAATGTTGTCTCAGAGTTGGTTCCATTCTGATCCTCTGTAACATCAAGAAGGAACACATAAAATAAGATAACATTTCTCTAAATTACCATCCTCTCTATACCATCCTCTCTATAATTTTACCTCTTCTACTAACATCCTATTTATTCCTCCCTAGCCCTTTCCCTACCTGACCTAAATCATATCTTTAATGCCAAACAGGTTGCCCAATGAAATAAAGACCAGCTCCATTCAGGTGAGAGGAAAGACCCTCAGTGTGGCTGGGGGATACAGGACCATGCAGGAGTGAGAGTACCAGCTGCCCTCTTCCTTAACTTAAATTCCACATCTTTTTTTAATCCCTATCTATTAGGAATTACAGTAATCAATATTAATATCAACAATCTTTGACATCTACATTTATATCATATTTTACTTTATGAAATGTTCTTCATATATATATTAATCCTAATCTTTCTAGCTTTTCCTGAAGGAAAAATGTCATACACTGAAAAATCAACTGTTTCTGAGAACCAAATTTGTAGTTAGTTGTCTGCTGGACAGTGGATGAAAAATAATGAATGCATTAGGAAAAGTTGAGAAAAATGCTCTTAGAAATCTGATGCCAAAATGTCAGGAATTTGTTCTCTAAAACAATAAATACTTCTGCTTTTAAAATATATATTCAATTTGTACAATGATTCATAAGAGTTACAGATAAATAGTCACCAACAAATATATTGGACACTAAAGTCTTTAAAATATTATACTAGATCTTGTACTAGAGACAGTAAACAAGTACTGTCAGTCAGATGTATTTTCTTTAAGAGCTGGAAAATGGGGCCCTCCTTGGTGGTGCAGCAGGTTAAAGCACAGCACTAAGAAGATAAAGCCACATCAGCATGAGTTCTATAACCACCCTGGAGGCATGGCAGACCTCTCCTGACACACCCACTGCTCCCCTCAGCAGTGTACTTCTTTGGTCTGCCTGTCCTGCTCCCCACTATCTCTGGTGAATCCTCTCACCACCCCTATACCTCTGGCCTGTACCCCAGATGTGTATGCATAAATAAACCTTTTTTAAAAAAAAGTTGGAAAATGAAACTAGTATAAAATTTGAATGCATTTTCAGAGAACACTCTAAATATTCTTGGAAATTAGACACCAAGTCAAAATTCTACTCCAAGTTACCTTTTTATCTGGCACTGTTCCTATTGATAACGTCCTTTTTTTTTTTTTAAACAGAACTGTATGAGGAGGAACAACTATGGTATTTATGAGTGACCGAGGGACTATCAAATGCATGAATTTACTGTTGGTTCAAATAAGCTGGCGTGACTTTTAGAATGCTTCTATAAATGGCTGGAGGCTTTTGATATTAAATGCTTGACTAGATATTAGTGAGCTGGTGTTTCCTGCTGTTCATTGAACTAGAAAACTCTCAAAAAGTACCTTTTCTTACAACATTTCAGAACTCTTTCTTTTCTGTGGTTCTTTCTAGAATGCTGAAGTGAACAAGCAGATGAAAATGAAAAGGACTAAAAATATTTACAAAATGTTTTAACACTTCAAAAAAATTCCTATTCTTGAGACTGGAGTTCATATGAAGTAGGATTTTATATCAAATGAAGAAATAATAGTTAAAAAATAATCACAAATCTACAATAAGCTATGACCCACTTCAATCAAATACTCAGAGGAATCAAGAAGTTTCCTATTCTATTTGAGTCAAATTATTCAAGTCACTTGTAGTGCACATTATAGCAGCAGCCCAGACACTTGGAGAGAACACCAGACCAAGAATTAGAAGGGGTTCTGACCTTGAATAAGCAACTAACTCACACAATCAATCAAACCACCAAAATCTTGCAAGCTTTGTTTCTTTTTTACCCTTTACGCACACCAAGGTTCAGCAACACAAATATATTCCCATGAGAGTATGGTAATTTTCCTCCATTTTTCATTGATAAACTACAAAGTATTTCATATCTATTACAAATATTTGTCAAAATGTGTTTTTTGTATTTTATATTGAGTCATTGTGCTGATATGTTGTGCATCATTTTTTTTCCATTACAGTGGAAATACTTACAGGTATTGTCACCATGTCCACCCTCTGCCAAAATGCCCAGAGTCCACCACCACACACAATTTTACTCCCTCCTTTCTTTGTTCTCATCTCTCCCACTGTCCCTGACTCCCTCTCGTTGCGCCCATTGCACAGTGAGCTTTCAAGTGGTGTTGTTTTAGTTTGGTTTATCTGATCCTTTCTTTTGTTTTTCTGTATTACACATATATGTGACATCTGTTATTTGTCTTTCTCTTTCTGACTGTTTTCATTTACTATACCTTTAAGGGATGTTAATATCCATCCATGCTGTTGCAAATATCAAGAGTTTATCTTATTTTTCTTTTATAGCTGAGTAATATTCCTGTGTATGTGTATGTATGTGTGCATATCACACTTACTTGACCTATTAATATGTTTTGGGGCATTTAGGCTTTTTCCATATCTTGAATATTGTAAACACCACTGCAATGAATACAGGAATACAAGTTTTACTTTCAAATTAACTTTGTGCTTTTGTATTTTTCTGATAGATACCTAGCAGTAGAATTGCTAGGCTATATGGCAGCTCCATCT